CCCGCGGGGAAAAAGAGCGCGCCTTTTAGGATTTCACAGAGGAAATTTGTCAAAATGATCAATGTCAGACCTTCCGATCATTGATCCTTTTGTAGTATTTTGTCAGTCGTAAATTATTCTCTTATCATGAAATCGAAATGACTCCATTTAAAAGAGACACCAGATGAAAAGGCTGCATTCTTCTTACAATCAATCTCGAGTAGATCTTATTCCCAGATGGATCTTATCGGATTTCCGTCTAATTTTACGTCTAATTCGACCGGTTGCAGTGTGGAATTACCGATTAGGAAGTTCGCTCGACGAACGTTGTTCTCGGAAACACACATTTGTATACGCGAAAGACACGCGATATGTACGAGAGTGCACAGTTACAGCAACGCGTAGTTTTAAGACTTATTGTTAGATTCAATGCACACAGGCTAGATTTTATTCATCTACAAATTATACGGTCCACTTCTCGAAGTCGGTTTCTTCTGCTTCGTTGGCGACGTTCTCGCAGAAGTCGACGTGATGTACGGTCGAAACTCCGCGGAGCTCGACAAAACTCGGATTATATCACTTGGAAACAATAGCCGTCCGTGTTACTCCGTCTAAATATTTTCCAACATCCTCTCCTCGCTGCTTTCAGCTGAGAATCTCTTTTTGGGGCGGACAAGAAAAATATTGAAACGCAAAATAGTTCCCGAATGATTGAAATAATTTTTTTTTTTCTGCAAGGGCTAAGCTGCAGGAGAGAGAATAGACGACGAAATGTTATATTTTTCGGGAAATCACAAGTGGATTTTAGCTGAAAGATTTTATTTTAATTTCAAGTCCGTTGCAAGGTTAAGTCTGTTCACTCTAGCTGTTCGCTTTCTGCGTCTAACAGGAGATATCTGTGTTATCAAATTTGCGAGAGATTTTTAAGAGAAATTTTTGCATCATTTTTTTTGGCTTCGGGACATCACTGGATTCTTTGCTATTTATTATATAAATGATTATCTCTCTCTTTCTCAAATATAAAGTTCACAGGTCACATCGGAATGTGACTCATACAGAACGTGAAAAATTAGGGAACGTTAACCGTGCAACCCCTCACGCATTCAACGTATTCAAATTCGCGCATTTAGATTCAGAAGGAGGGGAAAACAACCCGACTCGATTCTGCGTCAATCTGATAAGGTTTACGGGATACAATTCTATCGATCTCGCGCGGTAAATACGCGTGTCGCTCTGCGTCTGCTCAAAAACAACTTTGCTCTCCTCGCTCCAATTCGGCGTATATAGCGCGACACACGGCTCGCGGAATAAATTTAAACGTTGAAGTAAGCGAGACACGTCACCCCTCAGCTAAAATTGCGTGCTGTTAAATCTCACCGGAGACGTAATCCTCATCGGGCGAACGCGGGGCTAATTGTCGGGACCGCGTATATATGGGCGAGAAGTGCGGCGCGGGTGCTCGGGGGTGCAAGCAACGGCGCAATTTTTCGTGACGCGCGTAGAAAGCCGAGAGCGGGTTGGTGCTCCGAGGGGCGTTCCAAGGAGAGAAAGAGAGAGAGAGAGAGAGAGAGAGAGAGGAGAGCGAGAGCGAGAAAGAGAGAGAGATCAGCCGCCGTGTACCGGTGTGGCACAATCGATATATCGAATTGTTTTGATGGAGAAGAGGTGCACCGTCCGGCCCGGCCGGCCGCGACGCGGCGGGGCGGAATGGGAGATGGGATGAGATGGGATGGAATGAGATGCGACGTGCCCCGATTCCAGAATATTTGAGGGTGCGCGAGTCGACCCAGTGCCGCCGCGCTGATCCACCCCTATAAATAAATATGGTCAAGGTGACACTTTCGCGCGCGTTTTAACCCTCCGCGCGCGCGTTCTATCTCTTCCAGTCCGAAAGAGCAGTCGCAAAAATTGAATCTTCTATAGTATCTTCTGCTACTGATTGATTGATTAAATTGGTGGCGGTGATTTAACATCCTGAGAAAGAACGTAGGAAGAAAAAGAGAGCCGTGACCGTTTAACGAGATGAACGATTAGAATAGTGAGAATAGCGGAATACTCGTAGGACAGCACGTTAAGGAGTGAAAACGAAGAGGACAAGTTTAAAATATAAATAGAAACAAATAATATATGTATTATATATATTCATATATGGATCGTCATTTGAAAAACCGTAAGTCGCAAATCTAACTCTTGGGGAAACTTTCAGGTTTTTGTAATAATTAGAAAGTTAAAGAAAAAAGTAAGGATTAAAAAAAATACGTATTCTATCGTGGTTGTGCTTTTGACCATATGTGCGAGAATCGGTCATTTGAGAGACCGCCTAAATCGAAAAAATCTAATTCTTGGAAAACTGGAGAAAACTTTATAGTTTTAAAAGACAGTAATTGGAAGGTTAAAGAAAAACGTAAGGAAAAAATAAATATAAATTGAAAGAAAAGAAAAGTAAAAAGAACAAGGAGACTAAAAAAAATTTTCTAGAAAACTTTGTAATAAAAATTATAGAAAATGAGAATGACCTTGTTCTTTTTACTTTTCGTTTCCCTCAATTTATACTTATTTATATTTATTCCTTCTATTTCTTTATGTTTTTCTTCCAATTGTTATCTTTCAGAACTAGAAAGTTTTCTCCAGTTTTCCAAGAATTAGATTTTTTGACTTGGGGGGTCTCTCAAATGACCGATTCTCACACGTACGGTATAACATAAGCACAACTATGATAGAAAGAATACTCATAAATCGACGGAAAAGAAAAGCAAAAGGAACAAGGGACCAATAACGGACCTTACATTATAGATCCGAAAGATAAATAATGGCCCTTTTCAAGGTTTCCAAAGAATTTGGTAAGAGGTATAGTTATCTGCAAATTAATCTCCCCGTTTTCGGGTTGTGTCCATCTAAATATCTTGTCTAGAAAGAGTTTGAAAATCTCCGTTATTCTTAATTTCCCCTGCTAAAGAGGGGAATTTGTTGTGCTAAGCGCTCTTCGGCTCGCTTTCTTTTCCTTTTGCGAACGATCGATATCTTCTAATGACGAGAGATCGGTTTCTCGCGAAATCCGAGCATCTCCCGCCGGGCGTTCGTGGAATAGAATAAATTCTTCTGAAAAATAAATTTGTTTTTCAGTATTGATTATTTACTTATTTAGTTAAAATTATTTATTTATTTATTTATTTCATATTAAATTGACAAAAATAAGTTTGCTGTTGAACAGCAAAAATAAAATTATGCAAAAAATTATTTAAGTGTAATGTTTATTATTAAAAACGGTCACTAGCTTTCGATTCCTAGCTTAAGATTCCTTGCATTTTTAGAGGGAAATTGTTCGTTTCAAAACCCAAGTGAGTGTGTGGTTTACTTTAAATAGAAAATTTTTAATAAAGATATGTCAAATGTATGGTATAATGGTATCCACGTTCAATATATTTAAATATACATTATATAAATACATTATATAAATAAAATTTTAATTTTTGTGGAAAAATATCTAAAAGGACGTTTCAAATTTGATTTACAGTTGCCATATGCATTGGAGTTTACAGTATTTTTTATCAATTAAATAATAAAAACGCATATATTAAAAATTAAGAAGAACGAGTAAACACATATTTTCGAAACTGAATGCGAATATTTATTTCTTATATGTAATATTTAAGCGTTATCCAGTATTTGAAAGTGGAAATGTGTCACGTCTTGGCTACGACTTTCCACTTTCGTCAAATAAATTACACTGTACATGATTTGCATTAATTCATACACACACATACATGCATTTTTCTTCTTCAAAGTTACAAATGATCAACAAAATTGCAATTAAAATTAAAATTTTTTTACATTTCTGAAACAACTTTTATAGAAATGTGTGTACATCTCAAACTTCTCTGCGATACTTACTAACTTTAAGTTTTTATTTATTTTAAAAATTATTTAAAATAAATTAAGACATAATTTTAGCTTGTTATTAAAACGGAGAAGTCGACTTCCGCACTATCCGAATTTAATTAATACAGAATATCTAAAACCTATTTACCTTTGCAATAAATCAGTTATAAATTATTGGTTATTATATTGATTTTAATATTGTTATTATTATTACATTCATGTTTATATTGAATATTTTCTTTATATTATTATACTTGTTGCCGTTGCTATTTTTTCTGCACTGATACTATTTTTTTTCTAATGGCCCCGCAGTTTATTTTTATTAAGTTTTAGCTAATTGATATTGTTTCTGTCATAATAATAAATCAATAAATCAATAATAAATAAATAAATAAATAACACATTAGCTTTTTGAATTTAAAATGATGCACGTTACGTCATTTGATTGAAATTCAATCGTTCGGATTCTTTTCTCTACCGGAAAAGTGGAATTTTTTTCACGTCCGCATGATATTATGAGACATAATGCTCGATGCTCTGTGCTATCGACTTTAAATATACGTTTATTGCGTTTTTATTTAGACACATAAGAAGCTTGCGCATCCGTTATCGCACTCGTTGTCTTCGTGGAGAATCTTAGGGTCAACGCCTATCACCGATAACCTTTGACGATCTATTTTTAAATTAATTTTACAGAAAGCTTTCCGGCTTTCAGTCGGTCGTTCGTTTCACAGCGAATGTAAAAGTAAAAAAAACGAAAATGCAAATGTTACTAATAAACGAATTTGCGTTGCAGTTACATATACATATATTTAATTTCAAATAATCGTGACATTTTTTTAAAAAGAAAAAAATATACAGAGCGTCGAGAAACGAAAATTTTAATTAATAAAATTGATTTTCTTTATAAAATTATGAATTTATTAATTTATTATTCTATATTATATATATATATATATATAATATACATCTAATACGTTGTATATCTAATACGTTATATAATATATATAAAATTTTAGTGACAACGTATATAAAATAGAAGATATTTTCTCTCTCTCTTTCTCTTTCTAAAATAATGGATCTACTTTGTTCATTAACCATTATATTATTAATAATATATTGCTTAATAGAGTAAGTCATATATATTTCTTCTGTATTAAGTTATACATATTTCATTCATTTTTCGTGTCGTCAACACGAACGAGGAATGTTCGACCGCCGGTTAATGGTCAATTCTAAGAACGTTATCGCCGTAAAAGTGAATCTCTCTTTCTTTTTTTCCCCGCGTTTATCAATCGTCGTTAGTGTAATCTACAAATGTGACAGTTATCTTTAAATGTGAATGAATTATCGGGCGACGATGTGTCGGCATGACGAACGTTGACGTAACCTGGTGGTTGCCGTCCACGTGCATTCATCATCAGGGGAAGCATGCGCGGATATATATATGTTTGTCGATTGCGCGAATTGTGTGTTTTCGCGCAACGTTTGCTTTCTGGCCTAATAGTGAGGCACCGCCTCACAGAAATAGCAACATCGCCAACAGAAGCCAAGCAAATATCTTTTAATAACCTTCATTCTTCGCTGACCTTCGCCATAGCGCGAGTGCTCTCTCTCGAATAGCGTCATAATTATCGCTATCACAATTAGCGGAAGAGCAAAGCAATTAAACCTGAGAAAAGAGAAACAAAACAGAGCGAGATATAACTGTGTGTCACTGCATCTTAATCTTAAGCTTTAGCGCGCGATTTTGTTATCTCGATTGACTAACTATAAACTACTAAAACTCCAATTTCGCAAGCCATTCATGAAATACATCGGAAATATATCGGTTTGCGAGTCTCTAGATCTTGTAATATAGTAAGTCCTCCTTTCGGGGTGAAAAAAGTTGTTTTTCTAAAGAAGCGAATATTTTATATGAAATAACGTATAGATCATTATTTAATCAGATTTAATTTAAATAAGAAGTTTCTCGCCTTTTCTCATTAAGCTAACAATAAGTGAGCTCATCGATTGAGCTGATCCTCGATCGCTATTTATCTCTCCTCCATCATCATTTTTTTTCGCAAAGAAGTGAGATTTTTCAAAATTATCGTTTAACAAGTTTTACATCGGAACCGTCGGTCGGTGCTGTTACGATAAGCGTTGCTATTTATATTAAATATTGCAAAATATCACGCGGACATTGCCGCGTTTTTATTACGCGCCGCGCCGAGCGTGCGGACCGTCAGGAAATGCGCTGAAGATTAATATGAAAAACCGCACACTTCGCCGTCAGCGAAACAGAGCTAATCACACGATTGTTTATCATGTCTGCAGCGAGAGCAGCATGTTTGTGTCCAAACGCCGACTCATACTAAAGACCTGCGGCACCACCACACCTCTGCAGTGCTTGGAGCCGCTTCTGGAGCTCGTTGAGGAGTACACTGGCTTCGACGATGTCGAGGTAAGCGTTATCAAGGATATTACGAGTTATCGACAGCGCGGGCACGTAAAAGATTTATGGCACACATTTATCGTCGCGGCGATTACGAGGATTTAAATGGCAGAGACGAAAATGGTTGAACGATTATGAAAAAAAAGTTCTTGCTCCACTTAGCCTATAATACAATTGAAATACGGAAAATTTAAAAAGAACCAATGCCGCGTTGCGTAAGCTAAGGCAATATTTTATAATTGTTGATGTAAAGTAATTATATCGTACCCGGCAAACAGGATTTTTTTAGAGGCAGCATATTTATAAGATGTTTTTTTTTAATAAAAGAAAAATTATAAAAGTTTTTGAATTGCAGCCGTTTGAATTATACCTGCGTATATTTGTATACACATGTAATTGTAAAAAAATACAGAAATATGTTATACGCATGTATATGTAGGAAAATATGTACGCAGGCATAATTATGTATGTATACTCGTATTTTTAAGGCTTTATATTCCACTTTATAAGATCAGCATTGCAGCTCCATGCTGCTGCAAAATGCACAAAAATACCAACTTCGAATGGCTGTAACTTAAAGATTATAATTTTTTCTTATATTATCGTTGATACTTTCGATCTACATATTAAGAACTATCGTATAACAAATTTTTAGAAAATTTAGCCGAAAGCCATTTTCTATTTTAAGGATTTTGCAGGATTCCTTATTAATAAAAATAAATTAAATAAAACAACGCTACATATGTATAATTTTATATGTGGCAAAATTTTAAAGATCTTAAAAGGATCTTATAAATTTGGTGCTTCTGAAATATATTAATAAAAATAGATGAATATATTTATCTATTTTTATGTTATATAAGTATATAAATACAAAAAATAAAAATGTATGTAGATTTCTTGTAGTTATGAAACAAATTTTTTTACATTTAAATTGTTTTGATTGAAACAATTTAAATGGTTTGATTAAAAGTTTCGTGCATAAAAGATCGATTTTCAAAAATCGATTTTAAATGATCACCGTTAATTAACGCGTTTTCCTCTAATATAAAAAAAGTTTCGCAAGTTCGACTAATATCGGGCCACACACACCCTTTGGCAGATTCGACGCAGGCGATCGCGCGCGGTAAGGGATCTCTCGACTCCTTTCCTCCTCCGAATGCTACGCGCGCAGTTGGTTCCTCCGGGTCGGGGGGTGTGCTTAGCTATATAACTTGACCTAGTGCGCGCGGGGATAAGAAACGCGGGGCGCTCTCTCTCTCTCTCTCTACATATATATGTGTCCCTCCGCCACGCGCGAAACACGTCTCTCTGCCGCCTCCTTGGTTTATTGATCTCACCTATCTCGCCGCTCGACATACCTGCACGCCTCTCCCTCGCTGCCCGAAACGCGGTTTTCGCCCGTTTTCGACACTCCGCCGCGCGCTTCGCGAATCTTCCTCTCCCTCCTTCCCCTCCCCCCCCGCCCCCTACCTCCCACCCCTCGACTTGGGGAGCTGATGCTGCGTAAAAAAAGACTCGCGTTTTCTTTCCTCTCGTTTCACCCGCCCTTGCGAGTCGGTTGGCAAACAGATCGTTCTTATCTGTCGCACGTCTCGCGAAGATATCGCGGGCGCCCTGGGTAAACGCCGGGAAAGTTGAGACTCGTAGAAACTCAAACACGCGACTTACTCGAGTCCGATTCACCCCCTTCCCCCCTCCCTCATCTCGGGGTCGCGGATGAACGGCGCGAGATTCGAATTTTGCGGATTTAGATCGGTCGATCTGTCGTCGAAGTATACATTCCGTTACTGTATAATTTTTTTTTTTTTTTTTTAACAAAATTCCTTCTCGTTTTTTCGAGGATATCGAAGAATATCGTGCGTCCCAGTTATTTACCTAGTTATCACCGAAAGAGAGATAAAACTATCATAATAGCAAATATCTTAAAAATACACCATTCTTAAGAATGATACCGATGTTATGAGTTGGATAACGCTAACGATGATAACGCTGATAATGTTGATGGTATTAATGTATTACTGTAGTTACGTAATACATGCTATAATATAGCAATGAAAATAAAAACAGGAATTACTAAATAAAAAAATAAAAACAGTTTGTTTCGAATTCGCGCGCTGATTTATCTATTATTACTGCCGTCGTTTTTTCAAAAATTATTTCTCATTATTTTCTTATTATCACTGCCGTTGTTATAATTATTATTGTTACTGCCACTTTATTATCGTCGTTGTTATCATCGTCAACGATAAAAAAAAAATGTAGAGTATATATAGATCAGTGAGTAAATGTACATGAGCGTATGTACATTCTTCAGTTTCCTGTCGTTTTCTTTCAGAACGTCTTTTACTCGCGAAAGAATTACAAGAAACCGGAGCTCCAGATATCGCCGCATCAGACATTCGAGGAGGAGGTCGCTCTGCTGGATTCCCTCTTCCCTGGTAATTATCGGATTCTCAAATTAATTTTCGTTCTATTGTATTGGGCGGGGAATAGACGGGAACCGGGTAGAATAAGTTGTAGACCCACTTCAATATCGGTCAGTCTTTCGCGGATTCGGAAGCCCCGTACTCGCACCGTATAGCTCTGTTCCCCCCATTTCAGATGGCGAGGCTTACTGCATGGGCTCGCCCGAGACGGACTGCTGGTATCTCTACACCCTGATCCGCGATAAGCCGCTGCAGGATCCACCGGAGCCGGATCAAACCCTGGAAATACTCATGACGCAGCTGGATCCGGACGTGATGTCGATCTTCACCAGGGACGTCTGCTCGTCCGCCGACGAGGCGACGGTCAAGTCGGGGATCGACAAGCTCATCCCCACTATGATTATAGATGACTTCCTGTTCGAGCCATGCGGATACTCTATGAACGGGATATCTAAGAACGTGAGTCACGCGAGCATTGAGAATAATTTTAAACAAATCGTTTAGTCGTAAAGGTTTAGTTGAAAAGGACGATCATTTTGTAAATATATTAACATATATTACTCTAATAATTTAGAGAATATATTACTCTCTTTCTCTCTTTAAAGTAATACATAAATATGTTTCATAAAGAATAAAATATTCTAACATATTATTTTACGAGTGATATGTGTGTGTAAAATAATACATACATACATAATACATATATAAAAAAGATATGTAAAGGATATTTTAGATACAATTTTATTATTAGATATTGATTTTTAGATATAATTTTAGATATAATTAAGACTCTCCTGGTCCCTGCTTGCAACCAGAGAAATATATAATATCATTCTTCGCTTCTAACGTTGCAATTTGATGTAGCCGGGAGGACGCGGGGAGTCTTAATTATCCACACTGCGCCGCTGCGATACTATCTTCCGCATTCTGTCTTTCAGGGCAGCTACATGACGATCCACATCACGCCGGAGCCCGAGTTCTCGTACGTGTCGTTCGAGTGCAACGTCGCGGAGACGTCGTACGACGAGATAATCCGCCGCGTGCTGAACACCTTCAAGCCGGACAAGTTCGTCGTGACGATCTTCGCCAACAAGCAGTCCGCGGCGGCCAATTGTCCGCGCGAGCTCGAGAAGCGGTCCGACTATCTGAACCGCTCCGGCGACTGGCTGCGCAACGACGTGCAGTACTGTCGCTTCCCGAACTACGATTTGACCTGCGCCTTCTTCTCGCGCTTCCCGAGCTGAGGGTTCAAGGACGCTTCATTCGTCTCGCAACCCGGGACCAATGAAGCGCGCACCACTCCCGTTTCGCCCTGCCACCCTCCGCCTCCCCGTGATCGCCATCGCGACGGCGCGATGACGATCCCGACGAGCGGAGGCAGAGAGCAGCACTCCACCATCCCCCCGCAGCAACAGCAGCAGCAGTCACCCGCCCTCCAGTGTCGTGACGTTTCCAGCACGACCCCGGAGAGCGCGATTGGCGCAGACGTTACCGTACGCTCGGCGTCGTTGCCGCAACTGACGATGAAGATGCCGCGATCCAAGGTGTACCGTAAGACGTCCCTCAAGAGCTCGTCCCTCAAGTGCGAGGTCGACGTCGGCGGCGACGGCAACGGCGTCGTGCGGTACATGAGCGCCGCCGCGGAAAAGAAGCAAAAGAGGAAGAGCCTCGCGGACAGGGAGGCCGCCGCCGCGGCGGCGAGATGCGACGACAACAAGTGGAATCCCGGGGACGTTCACATCACATGCAATCCCCTGTCGACGCCGTATCCGTACTCGACGCCGGCGGCGACCACCACGACGACGACCACCACCGTCACCACCACCACCACCAGCAAGACGACGGCGACGGTAGAGGGCGACGAGGAGCCCAAGAGCCGCAGCTGCGGCAGCTTCCTACCGATACTCGCCCTGATCCCGCACTCGGTCATCAGCTTCCAGTATCTCAGCCCCAAGATGAAGTTCTCGTGGTGGCGGAACAAGATCTCGTGAAGACACGCGTAGACGCCCGTCGTCGTCGCCGTCGACGTTGTGCGTCGCGACGCCACCCCGACTTGTTTTATGAGGAGACACACCTCTCTTACCTCGTAGCGAGCTCTCTCTCTCTCTCTCTCTCTCT